GCTTTTTTTCTGTTTGTTTGATTGACTGTGAAAGGCTATAGAGTTCTCTGTTAATTTAGTGGGTTTTTCAAGCTATTTTTTCAAGACTGTATTCCTTGGTGCGTGTGTTCTCTGAAGTCTCTGTTTCTTTAGTTTGTATTTGGATAGTGTTCTGACAGAGACATCCTTGAATGGCAGTAGTTCAAAAGAAGAAAAAATGAGAAAAAAGAAAAATCAAACAAGTGAAAGAAAACAATAGAAACAAAATTTTTGCAGCCTTTTCAGACTTGTTCTGGGATAGGCCTCTCCTTCAACACTTATCCAGGCTTACACTGATACTAAACAGTAGCCCATATGGAAAGATTAGGGTTTTCTCCACTCTTTCCTGAGCATGTGTCTTGCTCTGCAAGTGCACCTAGCTCTGTAATTCTTCCATATACTTGGAGCTTTTGAATGTGCTAATTTCCCTAGAAAACTCACTCCATAGCTTTTCTGCCTTGGCCTTAAGCCTTCTGTTGTATATCTTAATAACATTCTTTTACTTCAGGTGGCTACCAGATTTTCCTTCCCCTTACAGCATTTCGGGTTATATTTGCAACTTTTCCACCCTGTATGATTTCTGATATGGACAAAACATTGATGAGCACTTTGCTCTTTGCTTCAGTCCTTTAGGTAGTGTCACGGATTGAATTGTGTCCCCCCAAAATATGTGTCAACTTGGCTAAGTCATCATTCCCAATATTGTGTGATTGTTCACCATTTTATCATCTGATGTGATTTTTCTATGTGTTGTAAATCCTATCTCTATGATGTTAATACAGCAGGACTAGAGGAGTTATGTTAATGAGGCAGGACTGAATCTGCAAGATTTGGTTTTCTCTTGAGTCCATTTCTTTTGAGATATAAAAGAGAGAAGCGAGCAGAGAGATGGGGGATCTCATTCCACAAAAGCAGTGCTGGGAGCAGAGCACGTCCTTTGGACCCTGGGTTCCTGTGTTGAGAAGCTCTAGACCAGGGGAAGATTGATGACAAGAAACTTCCTCCAAAACTGACAGAGAGAGAAAGCCTTCCTCTAGAGCTGGCACCCTGAATTTTGGACTTTTAGTCTCCTAAACTGTGAGAGAATAAATTTCTCTTTGTTAAAGCCATCCATTTGTGGTATTTCTGTTATAGCAGCACTAGATAACAAAGACAGGCAGCCATCCAGTAGTTTAGAAAAGAAAGTCAAACAATACGTGAATATAGTCTGTTCTGCTCCCTCCAGAACGAAGGTCCAAGGTCCCAGACTGGAAATGCAAGCTCTTCTTCCAGTTGATGTGGAATGGGACAGGGTTGGAACACAGCCAGAAAGAAATGCCACAAAGATTTCATACCATATTGAAGTTTTTTTTTTTTTTTTTCACTGATTCAGTGTTCCTATTGTTGATGTGAACTCTTGACTGTTTACCAGAGTTATAGCAAGGTGAATTCTGACTTTTTACACTGCCATCTTGTTGACTCCATTTTTGTTAAACTACAATTAATTAAAGTCCACATTTTATACAAATTTCATTAGTTTTCCCTTTTTCTTTTACAAGATCACATGCAGTACAACATTACTATTGATGTCATGTCTCCTTAGGTTTTTCTTGGCTGTGATACTTTCTCAGATTTTCCTTGTTTTTGATGATACTTTTTGATGAGGGGTATTTTGTAGAATTTCCTTCTTTTAAGTGTTTTCTGAAGTATTTTTTCATAATTAGATTGAGGGGATGGTTTCTTGAGTATAAGGTCACAGAGGTAAATGTCTTTCTCTTTATATCATATCAGGGGTCTATCTCAACATGACCTATCACTGATGACCCTAGTTACCTAGTTGATATAGTGTTAGTGCTGTATCTCAAGTGTAAATTTACTCTTTTTTCATCCTTCTATTCAGTAGTCTTTGACAAGAAACAAAGTTTTTTTAGATAAGAGAAATAGGAGAGATGAAGACAGGAAGGAGGAGAGAGTCCCAGGGCAAACTATTTCCTTATAGGGAACAACAAAGATCGGGTTGGAAAAATGGAAAAAAGAAAAAGAGACAAGAAAATAAAACCTTCTTGCTTTAAATTTTAAATACGTACCCCCTGCACCTGAAACTGAGCCCCTGTGCTCTGGTGTCCTGAGTGCACACTTGTAGACCACCTGCTCCCTACAGGGTTTATGTTTGGGTTTACATTGTCTTCCTGTCACTGTGTGCATCTTGCACAGTGATGAATACATAACTGTTTCCTCCGCAGTCATGGAGCTCAGCATCAAGACAAACTGGTTTTGGGATGTGTCTCTAGAGACGAAACTGAAGCTCTTGAGGGACGGGTTGTAGTAAGTGTTCCTATCATGACATATATAACCACCCCACTCCGTGGGGGCTGGTGGATCCAACTCCAACAGTAACCACTGGTTGTGATGGAGAATTCAGAGAAAACACATGTGAGGGAGAGGGTCTGTGAGGACTTCAATATTCCTGGGTCTGATTCTTACAGCTGCACCTGGGACAGGATACCTGCGGATAAAGAGAACCACAGTGATTCACAAGCAGAGACATTAATCCATGGTCCTTTCTCTGAAATCTTGGGAAATCTTACCTGGTTCTGCAACCACCAGTCAGAGGAGGAGACACAACCACATCATGTTTTTCTCCTGGGGTTCCAGTCTTTCTCAGACACCCCAGGCCTCAGTGAGAAATCACAATGACCTTGCTAAAGCTTAAGGCCTATTTCTCCCTCCATGGCTGGAAAGAGATATGCGTGTCGGAAGCCTTGCAGCTACAAGAGGGGAACAGGATGACGGGAGAAAGACAGAATGCAAGGGCTGTATCTTCATGAAGTCCTTCCACCCATTTGTCTGGTCCTGACAGAAAGGAAATCAATTTGTGCCCCTTGTAAGAAGAGGGTGGATAATCCAGAAGAAATGAGAACCTTCCAGCACTGGGGTTGATTGTCTTATTTCTCATGGTTAGTACCTATGCAGATACACAGTTGCAAATGATTTTGGAGTATAATGTGTTCCCTGTGTGCTGTCTATCTGATCACCACACACACGGAAGGCAGCCATGCCTGAGGGAAGTGCCCAAGCCCCACCCAGTGATTCTCCTCTGCTTCTGTGTGGGGTGAGAGGTTTCCCAATCAGTGAGGCGTCTGTGCCTATTACTGTGACCTCAGGACAAGGTTATTTTCATATATCCGGGAATATCAAATTTCCTAAACTCACCAGAACAGAGGTTGATAAAGTATTATGCGAAGGCTTTCACAACCACAGAACACTAAGTACTGCTGTTGGAATGGAGACAAAAATGATTCTCTGAAGGTCAGTATATTTTCTAAAGTAGGATTGTTTCCACTTGAAATAAAATTAATGAAGTATTGTGGGACTCTTATTATATAAGTACATTTCATTAAAATAATGTAGTTTTAATAAGAAAGGCCAAATTGTAATTGCTACCTTCATCCAAGGCAAATTCCCTGCACAAACAATATAATTATTCACCTGGAAGCTTTGTGAATTTATTGCTGTTATTGCTTTAATTTTATCATAGTTAATAGATATAGGATAAAATTTATCATTTTTATGTGTACAGTTAGGTGCCACTAATTATTTTCACAATATTCCACAACCATCACCACTATCTATTTCCACAATGTTTTCATCAGCTCTTTCAGAACCACTGTACCCATTAGGAACCACCTACATCTTATCTCCTCCCCCAACCGGCAATAACCATGAATCTACTTTCTTTCTCCATGAATTTGCCTATTTTATATATTCCAGGTAAGTGGGATCATACAGTATCTGTCACTCTGTGTCTAGTTTATTTCATTTAGTATAATGTTTTCATGGTTCATCTATTTCATAACATATATAATAATTTCAGTCCTTTTTGTGACTGAATGTTATTCCATTGTATGCATATAGGATATTTTGTTTATAAATTCACCTGTTAATTGACAATTGGGTTGTCTTCACCTTTTAGCTATTGTGAATAATAATACACTAAGCTTTGGTTTACAGGTATCTGTTTGAGCCCCTGGTTTCAATTATTTTGGGTATATACCCAGAATAAAATTGCTCAGTCACATGGTGATTCTATGTTTAACTTTTTGAGGCGAAGCCAAACTATTTTCCAAGGAGGTTTCATTTTATTTTCCCACCAGCAAAAAGAAAAAAAAAAAAAAAATAAGGGCAGCAATTTCTCCATAACCTCAACAGTATTTGTAATTTTAAAATCTTTTTGTAATAGCTGTTCTAGTAGCTGCAAAATAGTATCTCATTGTGATCTTGATTTGCTCTACCATAGTGACTAATAGGAGTCCTGGTGGCATAATGGTTAAGAACTTGGCTGTTAACCAAATAGTCAGCAGTTTGAATCCACCAGCTGCTCCTTGGAAACCCTATAGGACAGTTCTACTTTGTCCTACAGGATAACTATGAGTCAAAATCGACTTGATGGCAACAGGTTTTTTGTTTTTTTTTTTTGGAATGACTAATAAAGCTGAACACCTTTTCATGTGCTTATTGGCCATTTGTAAATGTCCTTTAGAGAAACATTAGTAAAATCCTTTGTTAATTTTCAACTTGGTTATTTGCCCTATTGCTGAGTTATAAGAGTTCTTTTTATATTCTGAATACTAGATCCTAATTAGATGTTTGATTTTCCCTCTGGGCTCCTTGGAAGGAAAACAGAAAGATTTTGTTTGTTTTGTTTTGTGTTTATAAGAAATAGACATGAAGACAGGAAGGAGGAGACAGTCTCAGGATAAACCATTTACTCAGAGAAGAGAAAAACAAATCAAAGAGCAAAGCCCCCTCCAAAAAAATTCCTCTTCCTTCATTCTTCAAACACTGTCCTTGCTACTGGGCCTGGGTTGTTGAACTCAGTGGGTACTGATTTCTCCCTGCAACCCAGCTACTTCCTGCCACCCTGTGGGGAGGTTTGTATCTAGGATCTCACTGACTTCCTTTCACTGTGCTTGTCTCACATTTATAATCAGTTCTGCCTCTGCCTCTCGCACTGTAATACACAGCGGTGTCGTCTGTGGTCACAGATCTCAGCTGCAGCGAAAACTCATTCTTGGATGTGTCTCTGGAAATGGAGCTGTGGCTCTTGAAGGATGGGTTCTAGCTAGTGCTACCACTAGAACTCATATACCCAATCCACTGAAGCCCCTTCTCTGTGGACTGGTGAATCCAGGACTAGTAGTAATCACTAGTTGTAATGGAGAATCCAGAGACAGCACAGGTGAGGGAGAGGGTCTGTGAGGGCTTCACTGGTCCTGGGCCTGACTCTTGAAGCTGCACCTGGGATTGGACACCTGGGAACAAGGAAGACAACAGTGAGTCACAAGAAGGCACCACAACCAACAGCTTCATCTCTAAAATCCTGGAAAATCTCACCTGGGGCTGTGGCAACCAGGCAGAGGATGAGACACAGTCCTGTCACGTTTTTCTCCTGGAGGATCCTTTCTTTCTCAGATACCCCATCCCAGAGTGAGAAATTATACTTAGTTGCCCAGACTTAAAGCCCGTCCTCCTTCATTGACTGAATGAGACATTCGCATGTGGGCAGTCATGTAGCTACAAGTGTGCAACAGGATGAGGAGAGTACTAGGGTCCATGGTGTCATCACTTTATGCAGGTCTCCTCCTATTTCTCTGGTCCTGGTAAAGAGATAAGTGATTTGTGTCCTGTGTACAAAGAAGGTGTATTGTCCAGAAGAGGTGAGAACCTTCCTGCACTGGTGTTGATTGTCTTCAGTTTGTGTTGGAGAGTATCTCTTAAGATACACACAGTTCTGGATGATTTTGGAGTATGGTCTATCCTGTGTTCCTGACCCTCTGGTTACTACATGTACATGGAAGGAAGACATGTCTGAGTGACATGACTCAAGCCCCAACCAAATGTCTAAGTGAACAGTGATTCCCCTGCTCTCTTGTGTAGTTGCAGGTGGGGTCTCCTGTGTGTGAGATTTTGCGATCTTTGCTAGTGATCTCAGGACAAGTTTCTGCTCATATATTCACGAAAATAAAAGTTTCTTAAAGTCACCAAGACAGGAGTGTATGAAGAATTTCAAAAGATTTTCACAATTACAGCCTATAGGAGGAGAAGTACTATTTTTGGAATTGAGGCAAAAATGATTCTGTGAACATCAACAATTTTTTTAAAGTAGGGTTCAGTTGATTCAAGGGGAAATTAATGAATTGCTGCAGAAACTTATTTCACTCCTGTGTTACATTTACCAAGATACAGTATATTCTCAGTCATAAAGCATACCTTAAGAAATTTAAGGTAAGAAGTTTTAAACCACAATGAAATTAAATCAGAATTCAATAAGAGAAAGGAATCTGGAAAATTCTTGTATATCTGGAGATTAAATAGCACACTTCTAAATAACACATTGTCAAACAATAACTCTCAAGAGGAATTTAAAAATATTTTTGCTAAACAAGTATAAATAAACAAGTTATCAAAATTTGGAGGATCTAGCCAGCAAAATTAATGCTCAGACAGGAATTTATATCATTGAATTCATATATTGAAATAGAAAAAAAAGACGTAAAATCAGCAATCTATGTTTCTACTTTAGGAAACTAGATAAAGAAGAGAAATTAAGAATAGAATAATCAAATGTAAGAATTAAGATTTGCAATAAAAATTAAAATTGAAAACAGGAAACAATACAGAAAAATCAACAAAACCAAAACCCCATTTTTTGAAAAATTTGATAACATTGATAAACGATGCTAGACAAGAAAAAAGACAGGACACACATTACCAACTTCAAAAATAAAGTAGCGTTCATCACTACTGAACTCATGGGCATTCAATTATAATAAATGACTATTATGAACAACTCTATGGTGATAAACATGGTAACTGAGCTGAAATGGATAAATTACTTGAATGACATAAACTATCAAATTTCAAGTAAGTAAATGTAGATAATCCTAGTAGGCATATATTTGTCCAAGAAATTGAATCAATAATTAATAGCCTTTTGGAGGACTTGTGACAAAATGGCCCTCTAGGCAGAAGCAACATGCCATCCCTCCACAGCAAAGATCCAAAAAATGAAGCCAAACAGAGAAAACAGCTATCCTGAAACCATAAAGCATCAAATGAGAGATAAAGAACTCAGCCAAGCACCAAATGGAGTGAGAAAACTGACAGAGAACGGAGAGTGAGGAGAAATTCATGCGGAGGTCCCCTATCAGCTAACCATCTTGGACTCCTATCAGAGACCAGCAAATAGGGGGTATGAGAAAGCAGCTTCACAGAGCTTCCAGCAGGAGACAAAACAACCAGTAATTTGTGATATACACTTTCCCACCCCCCCATGATTCTTCACTCCCACTTGGCCTCTTCTGCTTCCCGTGGCCACAGTCTCTTGGCCAGGAAGCACCGGCCGCTTGGATTCCACCCACCCACACTGGCCGGCTCCCCGAGTGCCATTGGTTGGCTGATGGTGTTGCTTTTTTCCACTTCTTTTGATTTCTTACTTACATCTCACCACCTCGCCCTCCTTTCGCTCACATACCTGGCTCTGTGCACCATCTTTGCTTCTTCCTCAGGGGCTGTGGAGCTCTGTTCGAGTATGGAACTGCTTCCCAGTCTGGGCTGCCACACTGGTGAGATCTCAGGGCTTTTCTTTGTTTGTCTGTTTTGAATTGTTTGTTTTCTTTTCATTTCTCGAGCTGGGAGCCTTTTATAGCTGGGTGGTGCTGCGCGGCTGGGATCTACCCCCTCAGCTTGCACAGACATGCAGAGGGATCCCTGAGAACATTTCTTTTTTCACGTTTTTTTTCTCTGTTTTTTGGGAGGATTTTCTCCTTTTTTAAAAAATTTGTTTTGTTTTCTTTTCCCTCGTTTTCCCTTTCTGTCTTTCTTCATTACTCAGTTTCTCATCTCTATACATTCCTTCTCTTCTTGTGCCCTGAATACCTGGTGCTGAATTCCCTACACATTCTAGCCAGGCTGTACTGCAACACCTGAGAACAACATCCCTGGACCTCATAGCCACATGGGTGGGTTACCTGGGAGCTTTGCTTTTCTTTTTCCTTTCTAATTTTTATTTAATCATTCTTTTCTTTTCTTCTTCTTCCCTTTTTGTTTTTCTCCATTTCATAGTCTCCCATCGTTCTACTCCAATGGCAACCCCACATGCACTACTTTTGCTTGCATGTTTTTGGCTCTTGTTCCTCTCTCCTCTCTCCCATATCCATCTTAGCTCCACACGTAGAAATATCCCCCCTCCATCCTGCCTACATGCACTGAGTGCTTAACATCATACCACCAAGCAGCACAGGCATGGCCTACCGGAACCTGCCCTGAACTGATTAATGACCCACCCTGGTGGCTGTAGTGAGAACCACAAAAAGCCCATCCCAGTAACTCCTCTTCAGCTAGACCTGCCCTGCTGTACCATAACTGAATGATTGACCCTGCCAATTGTAGAAGGAGGCAAAAGGTATTGTGCCCACAGATGAGCAAACAACAAAGAACACACAGCACGCCTGCTCAGACATAGCCAAATAAAAAAAAAGGATGAGACAAACAAATCTACAATCAATAAATGAGAAAAATAACTACTGAATGCCCCGAAGACAGAAGACAATATCAAAACAATTACAAAAACAGGACACGATGGGTCCAGTAGGCATCCAGAATAAAACACCAGATGACATTCCAGTGGAAGAAAAGGCACTAGAATGACCTGATAGGGAGTTAAAATCTCTGATACTCAGAATTATCCAAGAGCTGAAGCCAAAAGCAGACAAAAATGAAGAAAAAACAGAAAAATTCATGGAAAAGGCAGACAAATTCATGGAAAATACAGACAAAAAAATGGAAGAATTCAGGAAAATAACGTAGGAACAAAATGTCAAAATAAATTCACAACAAGAAATCACAAAAAATAAATTAGAAATCCAAAGGACAAATAACAAGGTTTCAGAAATGGGCGGTGTCATAGAAAGGCTGAGGAGCAGATTTGAAACAGTGGAAGACAGGATCAGTGGAATTGAAGACAAATGCTTGGATACAATTCTGTTAGAGGAAAACTCAGGAAAAAGAACAAACAAAAATGAAGAGAGCCTGAGAGTTATGTGGGATACAATCAGAAAGTAAAAATTTGCTAGTGATCAGAGTTGCAGAAGAGGGGGAGAAAACAGAAAACTCAGAGAGTATCATTGAAGAACTGCTGACAGAAAACTTCCCCAATATTATGAAAGATGAAAAGTTGGAACTCCAAGAATCTCAAAAAACACTGCGTAGAATACACCCCAGAAGAAAATCACCAAGGCATATTATAATCGCACTCACTAAAACCAAGGACAAACAAAGAATCCACACAGCAGCTGGTGAAAAACAAGAAGTCACACACAAAGCAGAAATGATAAGACTGAGCTCAGATTATTCAGTAGAAACCATGCAGGCAAGAAGGCAAAGAGATGACATATATAAAATCTTGAAAGAAAAAAATTGCCAGCCAAGAATAATATATCCTGCAAAACTCTCTTTCAAAAATGATGGTGAAATTAGGATATTTTCAGATAAACAGAAATTAAGAGAATATGTAAAAACCAAACCAAGCTTACAATAATTATTAAAAGGATTTCTTCCATCTGAGAACAAACAACTTCAGCTCACAGGCAGAATCTAGGACACAGGATCATACCAGTCAGACACCAATCTAGGAATGAACTCTCAAGGACTATCAAAAACCAAAAGAAACACAACAGGGAATCAGAGCAGTTA